AAAACTATAACACATTGCTAAAAGAAATCAAAGAAGACACAAATAAATGGAGACATCCTGTGCTTATGGTTTGGGAGACTTAATATTGGTAAAATGTGCATACTACATAAAGCGATGTTAAGATTCAATGCAATTTATATCAAAAACCCTATGTCATTTTTTGGCAGAAGTAGAAAAAAAATCCTAAAACTCATACAAAAATTTCAAGGTACCCTGAATAGCCAAAATAATCTTGAAAAAGATCAAAGTTGGAGGCCTCACATTTCCTTATTCCAAAACCAGCTACAGTGCAACACCAACTGAGACAGTCTGATACTGGCATAAAGGCAGATATACAGACCAATGAAACAGAGACTAGAGCCTAGAAATAAACCCTTGCCTATATAGCCAAATAATTTTCGGCAAAGATGTCAAAACTACAAAACAGGGAAAGATAGTCTTTTCAACAAATGGTACTAGGAAACCTGTATATTTACCTGCAAAAGAATGAAGTTGGACACTTACCTTATACCATGGACCAAAATTAAAATAGGTTAAAGACCTAAATGTAAGACCTAAAAGTATAAAACTACTAGAGGAAAACACAGGAGAAAAGCTTCAGGACATTGGATTTGGCAATGATTTCTTGAATGTGATACCAAAAACACAGACAATAGAAGCAAAAATAGACAAATGGGACTATATCACACTTCAAAACTTATGTGTGTCAAAGGAAACAATCCACAGAGTGAAAAGGCAACCTATGGAATGGGTGAAAATATTTGCAAATCATATATATGATAAAGGGTTAACATTCAGAATACATAGGGAATTTCTAAAACTCAACAAGAAAACAAATAACCCTATTAAAAAATGGGCAAAGGAGTTCAAGAGATAGATAGTGCTCCAAAGAAGATATACAAATGGCCAACAAGCATATGAAAAGATACTCAACAGCACTAATCATAAGAGAAATGCAAATCAAAATCACAAGATATCACCTCACACCTATTAGGAAGGCCACTTTTGATACAAGAAACTAAGTGTTGGGGTGGATGTGGAGAAACTGAAACCCTGCTGCTGGGAATGTAAAATGGTGTAACTCCTATGAAGGGCAGTGTAAAGGTTTCTCAAAAAACAACACAGAGCTGCCATATGATCCAGCAAACCCATTTCTGGGTATATATCCAAAAGCATTCAAAGCAGGATCTTTAAGAGATGTTCATTAAAATATTATTTACAGTAGCCAAGAAGTAGAAGCAACCCAAATTCCATTAACAGCTGAATGGATAATCGAAATGTAGTTCATACAATACATACAATGGAATATTATGCAAACTTAAAAAAAGAAGAAAATTCGATCACATTCTACAAGGATGAATGAGCCTCAAGGACGTTATGCTAAGCGAAATAAGCCAGCATAAAAGGACAATTACTGTATGATTCTACTCATATGAGGTATCTAAAGTAGTCAAATCATAGAAACGGAAAGTAGAAATGTGATTGCCAAGTACTGGAGAAAGGAGGGAGGGAGAATTAATGTTCAGTGAGTAAACAGTTTCAGTTTGGCAAGATGAAATAGTTCCAGAGATCTGTTGTGCAACAATGTGAATGTAACTTAATGCCCCTGAACTTAAAAATGTTTAAGATGGTAAATTTAAAGTTATGTTTTTTTTTTCACCACAATAAAAAAACCAAACAAATCTGAGCTATTATTAATTTTAGGCTTTTTCCTCCCATGAATATATACACTTTCCCCCAAAACTGGACCACATTGTACATGCTGTTTTATAACAGGTTTTGCCCATTGACTACAGAGTGAAAACTTTCCAAGTTTATTCCCTATTCTTCTAGGTCATTTAGAAAGGCTGTTTAGTATTTCCAATATGTGAACCTACCACATAAACTAATTTCCTGTTGTTGGACACTGGATTGAATTATTTTACTCTTATGAACAATACTGTGTAGCTAAATCATGTTATGCCTTTTAAATAGTTTTAATATCAGCTTCTCTCTCTCCTAGTCAGCTCTCAGCTGTTACACTTCTCCCCTTCTAATCTGTGATCAGATAATCAACCTAGTTAAATCAGTTTACTTGTAATAAAACCTTATGTACAATTCTGTCCCTTGCTCTGAGTCCTAGGTAAAAGGGACAGCTCTTGTAGAAGCTGTGAAGGGAGGCTGTTTGTGCTTATTTTGGATCTACTTTCAGTTCGACCAGCTCTGCTAGAGTCGGTTCTTGCCTCACTGAATAAATCCAGATGGTGGCACTTGCTCTTGTGCCTTGCGGTTGCCTTTTCCCTTCCACTCTCTCTTGAAACTCAGTCTACCTTTATGCCTGGCCACCATCACCTCAGTGTTACCTGTTTCTGATTTTCTGAAGCCCTGCTGCCCCTTAGGGCCTGTCTAGGAGTTCCTGGCCTCCTTGGACTCCTGATACCAGTATGCATGCATACTGCTGACTTCTACTTTGTGGACTTCTTTGCTTTAGTTTCTCACACTTTTAAGGAACTCATAGCACCTATTTGTACTTTTTGACAAGTGCACTATCTGACAACTTTGGATCTCATTTGTGTGTGTGTGTGAGAGAGCACAGAAAATAGACTTCCAACAATTACAACTCCCAATTTGTGTATTACTAAGTAGCCTAAATGCAGGTGGATAGGCTAGTTTCCCAAACTTGCCTGAAGGATCTCATGGGTCACTTGGTTAAAAAAAAACACATTCCCAGGCCTAGCCCAATGGATATATTATTTAATCAGTACCCCAGGTGATCCTTACAGTCAGGCAGATTTAGAAACACTGGGCCCTTAATCTGCATCCTCAGAGCTTCCAGGATATTGGGAAGTTCAATTGGGACCCAAGGGAGCCTGGTAAGCCTGTAACCAACCTAATGGTAGCACAGGGTTCATTCCATCAGGGTAGGACAACTCTAGGAGTCAACTGTAAGTTGAAAAAAACATTGGAAGGTCTTTAGAGCTTACAACCAAAGCAGGAACTTAGGGTCTATCACCTCTATACCAAGGATGGTTTCAAACATACACCCCCTTGAGTAGATTTTATTCTAAATGCTGGGGTTCCAAAACTGTTAGTTTGAGTCATACAGTTCCTCAAGAAGTGTAACAGAGAACCTGGATCCCCTGAGGATTAAACCCTTTGCATATATGCTAAAATCACGTGGAGTGCATATCTTTTAATAGTTCTTATTTTCAGTTAAAAAAATGACTTCAATGCCAGATCTGTGTCAGGAAACTGTTCTCGCAGTGCTAGCTGTGTAATTTTTGAGGCTTGAGAAAGGAACACAGAACTCTGACACATACGCTTCAACTCATGACAGGTCTCTGGGTATTTGGATCAACCACATGTAAGATATACAAGATATTACTCCCTCAATCTGAGGATACACGGAGATCCAAACATGTCTGAGAATTCTAACAGAAACTCTAGAAACAGCTGGTGAATCCTCACCGCTCTACATAAACTATTTGGGGGAAGCAGGGGGAAGATTACTGATAATTTTAATTTCCTTGTTGGAAATTTCCAAATTTATTATAATAAACATAATTTATAAAAAAGTGTTTTAAGAAATATACCATAAAGGAATAAGAGCATACCTTAATAATGTAAATGGAGGTGGAAGAAAGCAGCCTAGATTTGTTCAAAAACTTTTTTCCAGTTATGTCCCTTCTCTGTTACTTAAAAAAAAAGTCTAGAGAAGATGCATCTTGAATAAAGAGTTGTTGGTTTAAAAAAAATGCTTTTTGGGCTTCCCTGGTGGCACAGTGGTTAAGAATCTGCCTGCCGATGCAAGGGACACAAGTTCGAGCCCTGGTCTAGGAGGATCCCGCATGTCGCGGAGCAACTCAGCCCGTGTGCCACAACTACTGAGCCTGAGCTCTAGAGCCCACAAGCCACAACTACTGAGCCCCCATGCCACAACTACTGAAGCCTGCACGCCTAGATCCTGTGCTCTGTAACAAGAGAAGCCACGGCATGTGCACCGCAACGTAGACCCAACACAGCCAAAAACAAATAAATAAACAAATTTATATAAAAAAAATGCTTTTCAAAAATGCAGCTAGAAAAACTAGCTTGATCATAAGTATCATTAAACTTGCCAATAATGTTGCTGTTTATAGTTGAAAGCTTCCTAATCCTTTTTTAATTTTCCTGATTTTTTTTCAATTAAAAAACAAAGTAATGCATGTACATGGTAAAATATTCAAACAGTTCAAAATGGTATATAAAGTATTTCTCCTAACCCAGACACCAATTCTTTTCCCAGAGGTAATCATTGTTAGCAAGTTTCTTAAATATTCTTCCAGAAATGTTTTATGCAACTACGAAGGATATTTATATACCATTTATTCACATGAGATCATAATTTCTACTCCTCTTACAATCCATCCACTTGATGGGATAATGTGAGGAAAAAATAGAATTACATAAAAATTAGGCCAAGATAAAAATTAGCCCAAAATTGTTGAAGAAAACTCAAATGATCCATGAGAGAGCCAAAACTGAGGAGGAAAAAATATGAGGGGAAAATGCTTCTTAGGTCCTAAAAAGTTTTCACCCTTTAAAAATTGTTATTTCTCTCTTTAAGAGAATCTTCTTTAACATGAAGTTTAAAGTCATTGTACTGATGTTTATTTGGTAAGTAGGCTAAGCATTTTTTCTCTGCTGGTTCTAGAAATTATCTCCTTCCTTTTAAAAAAAATGTTTAAAGGTAAAATTTTAAATGGTAAGAGAGTAAAGTGATGTAGAATAAGAAAAGTACTTTATTCAGTGCACCCTGACAGTTTTTTCAGTTCCATTCATAATTATAGCAAAAAAAAAAAAAAAAAAATCCGCTGCTGAGTTTTTGTTGTTTTACTTAGTTACACTCAAGAAAATGCTAAATATAAAAACTCCTATTATTGAAAGTTTATACTTCTTATAAATATATACGTATATATATAATATATATGTATGTGTATATATATATATATCTGCCCTTTCATATGAACCACTCAAAACAATTTTAAAAGCTGTTTTTTTCTGTATTTAAAATTACTCGTTTAAATATTTAGAAGTTCCACAGGAGGTGGCTTTAATGGAATTTTTCCCAGAGTAAATTTCTTTGATTGAAATTGTTCCAGTTCTTCTGCTGTTAGTTGATCCCTGGGTGTGAATAATACATTATCTGTTGTGGTGCTGCCATTTGAGAATGAGAGAGAGGTGGATATGCTGCTGTTTCCAAAGGTGTCACTGGATGACTTGGAAAAAGCAGCGTGAGACTGTGAGCCTGGACCACCAAAACCAGCTGAAGAACTGCCGCTTCCAAAGGCTGGGGCCTCTGGAGCTCCAACAGGGCCTGCTGCCACAGAAGCTGGAAATCCTGAAAATCCGGATGATCCAAAACCAGAAGCTGCAGGGCTTTTAAATGAAAATGAAGCAGCAGATGTGATTTGGGGTTTCCCAAGTCCAAAAGCTGGAGTAGAAGCAGTGATGGCAGAACTGGCGGAGGGTACAGCTCCAAACGCTGGAGTACTCCCAAACACAGAAGGGCTTCCAGAAGGGGCAGTAGCAAATCCAGAGCTTGGTTTAAAACTAAAATTCTGAGCATTAATGCTGCTGTTGTTATTCACTGGAAAACCTACAAAAACCAGAAAAAGAAAAAAAGAAGCTATTAATCAGAAAATGTAGCTATATTACTACTCCCCACCCACCCTTTTTTTTCTTATTTCTGTCATATTTAGATGATAATTAACTTACTGGAACGAAGAAGAGAAAAGTGAAAATGAGAAGCTAGGACAAACCCACTAAACACTGTTGTCCTGTCTTTCTGCTACACTGATCTCATTTGCACCATAATTTACACTCAAGGAGGCAGCTCTTGAGAAACCTCAGGGATTAGGGAGTGAACCTTCACTTTACCTGTCCCCTCATCTCATCGGAACTGTCATTTGAGGACAATACTATGCTGTTATATACAGGGACAACAAAGTCCTCAAAGGTGCTGCTACCCTAACTATGTATTCCTATGGAAGTCTTGAAAAACCGTTCCTAAAACATACTTCTAAAGCCTAAGCCATAGGGTCTTTCAAAGAACATGCCCATTCTGAACCCCATTTCGCAAATGCTTGATGAGCCAAATTCTTCAAAGCTCTATTATGGAAGGTGGTATAATTTGCAAGGGTGACTTAAAATGGCACTAAACAAAACTTCAGGCTTTATATTTGAAACCTATAAAATCCTATTTTTTTGAATCTGTGAAGTCCTTCATTACTTTGTCACTTACCTGGTGACCCAAATGTTACTGATGGCCTACTGCCAAATCCAAATGCAGGTGCTGCTTGATTTACTCCACCCTTTATATCAGAGAGCTATTAAAAAAAAAGGTAGGCAAGTGAATAATTCTCGAGTACCTTTTCTATACACTTTATAGCCAAATTCAATTTTTAAAATGTGCACTTAAAAACGTCTTCATTTTGTTTAATATAGAAAAATGTCTACAAGTGAATGTTCATAGAAAAAAATGGGCCAACCTCAATGAGTTCGAAGTGATTGTGTGGCTGATGAATTATGAATGATTTTAATTTTACTTAAGCTTTTAAAACACTTTCTAAGTTTCTTCAATGAACACATTAAAATCAGGAAAATACTTTTTAATTCTAGATTTTAGTTTCTACTGGTTGATCTGCATTTATCAAAAAACCTAGATATTAGGTAAAGGACCTTTAGAGGCTACCCAGTCTACGTACTCAAATGCTTGAACTGAAGTTAATTCGCAATTACATTATTAAAAGTTTACCACTAAAATCTATTAAACATTTCCTTTTCCCTGAAAATATTTTATGCTTTTGCTATTTTCTGCTCTAGAAATGTCTTTCGTCTCTGCTTACTGAAATCTTAATCTCCTTTTCAAGGAACTTTTCACTTAATCCTTACCTCTAAGAAGTCTTCCATCATCAACCTAAGCACATAAGATTTCTCTCATTTTAAAACCCTACTGGCATTTTTTCTTTAAAAACAAAATAAACTTTACTGAGTTACAGTTTACATAAAATAAAATGCATCCATTAAAACAATCTATCTATATTTTGATGAGTTTTGACAAACTTATAACCACCACTACAATCAAGACTTAGAATATTTCCATCACCCATAAAAGTTCCCTTGTGTCCCTTTCCAGTCAACACTCTCCCAAGCTCTGGCCCCAGGGAACCATTCACCTACTTTCTATTACTAGAGATGAGGTTTGTCTTTTCTAGAGTGTCATATAAATGGAATCATATAGTATGTATTTTTTCTTTTTTTCATCTAGCTTCTCTCCCTCAGTCATTAACAGGTATGTGGATAAACAAATTATATCCATATAAGAGATTAAAAGAATAAAGAATAAACCACTTGGCAGGGACTTCCCTGGTGGTCCAGTGGTTAAGAATAGCCTTCCAATGCAGGGGATGTGGGTTTGATCCCTGGTTGGGGACCTAAGATCCCACAAGCCGCGAGGCAGCTAACCCTGCATGCCACAACTACTGAGCACGCGGGCAACAACTAGAGAGAAACCCGCGCCCTGCAATGAGGAGCCTGCGCAATGAGGAGCCTGGGTGCCACAGTGGAGGATCCCGCATGCCGTGATGAAGATCCCGCTAACTGCAACTAAGACCCGACACAGCCAAAAATAAAATAAATAAATATTAAAAAAACCCCAATCACTTGGCATGAAGAATTGACACATGGTAAGCCAGTTGTAGGTAGGCTGTCCAAGATTCTCACCTACAGAAGGGCCCCTAGGAAGGTGGCAAAGAACATGGAACTTCCAACCTTGAAGGAAGCTCTATAGTTCTCTGGACTCAGTTATCCCTCCTACATCAGCAATGGTGATGGCGGGCCACCTCTCAACTAGAGAAAAAATACTTCTGAGGAGTCCTACTGAATTCAAATGGCATTACAACAACTGAAGGGTAGAAGAAATTAGCTTGCACAAGAGTCTAGTCATTTGGGGGGGTGTGAGGAATTGGGACATTGGGGTTGACACATATACACTATTGATACTACGCATAAAATAGACAACTAATGAGAACATACTGTATAGCACAGAAAACTCTACTTAATGCACTGTGGTGACCTAAATGGTAAGGAAATCCAAAAAAGAGGGGATATATGTATATGTACAGCTGATTCATTTTGCTGTATAGTAGAAACTAACACAACATTGTAAAGCAACTATACTCCAATAAAAATTAATTAAACAAAAATAAAATGCAATGCCCCCCAAAAAAGTGTCTAGTCATTTAGAAGCACATATTTAAGAAAAGAGTAGGGGGACTTCTCTGGTGGTGCAGTGGCTGAGAATCCGCCTGCCAATGCAGGGGACATGGGTTTGAGCACTGGTCTGGGAAGATCCCACATGCCGCGGAGCAACTAAGCCCGTGTGCCACAACTACTGAGTCTGCGCTCTAGAGCCCGTGAGCCACAACTGCTGAGCCCGTGCGCCACAACTACTAAAGCCCACGTGCCTAGTGCCCGTGCTCCACAACAAGAGAAGCCACCACAATGAGAAGTCGCGCACTGCAACGAAGAGTAGCCCCCTCTCGCCACAACTAGAGAAAGCCCACGCGCAGCAACGAAGACCCAACACAACCAAAAATAAATAAATAAATAAACTAATTAATTTTTAAAAAAAGAGAAAGGAGTAGGGTGTCGGGACTTTCAAACAGTCATTCACTAACTTTAGACAGCTACTACTCCCATAGCCTTTTTCAGAAAGTACAAAGAAAAACCACCTAGGAGACTGGAAATATCAAATTCTAAATGTAAATATCTTATTTAAAAATAATATTCTTAAGAACTTCTTATGGGGGTAGCAAAATAAACTACTGACAGAGAGAATGAATATGCTGCAGTAGGATCATGTATCTTTGGGGACAAGTGGGCATATATCTCCTAAAGGCATTTCTGTATAAGACAAGGAACATACGGTCCTTCAGTCACAAAAGTATACATTAGCCTAAATATGCATTCATATTTTTCAAGGCAATTTCTTTTTAAATGCTGAAAACCTGGCATACTTGAATTTATGTAATATTTTTCAATTTTTAAAACTAGTACCACCAAAGTTAAAAACTTTAACCTAAAAATAGTTTTAGAAAAGCATAATTATCTGTGCTCTTCTGACTAAGGAACAGAGAGAAAACAATTCCAGGACCGTGACTCTAAATGATAATATAGTTCTTGAGAATGTGTGTATCACAATTCTTTATTTTTTTGCGGTACGCGGGCCTCTCACTGTTGTGGCCTCTCCCGTTGTGGAACACAGGCTCTGGACGCGCAGGCGCAGCAGCCATGGCTCACGGGCCCAGCCGCTCCGCGGCACGTAGGATCTTCCCGGACCGGGGCACGAACCCGTGTCCCCTGCATCGGCAGGCAGACTCTCAACCACTGCGCCACCAGGGAAGCCCTGTATCACAATTCTTGACAGAGAATTTTAGCTTTGCTTCCCAAATCCAAAGTGAAATTCTGCAAAAAAGCAATAGATAAGACATTTCCCTGTAGAAAATTCTCCAATACTCACCAAAGCTATTGTAGTTGATGTATTTAGACTTTTCAGTTCATTTACCCTGTTCCTCCACTGATTTATTAACTGTTGGATGGAATGTAGCTGGAGAGAAGACAGAAAAATAATGAGTCAATATTGAATGTTTAAGATAATCTCTCCAACAACTTCATGTTTGTATTTCCAAAGTCACAATAAATTTATAAAACATTTTTACAACCCATAACTTGTAAAATTTGCGTTGACCTACCCCTACTTGCCAAAGATACTCCAGCTGTAGACCCCTTTCCCTGTTCTCCAACTCCTTGTATCACCTAGTTAAAATCACAAGTACCTGGCAGTACAGACACAAACATGTGTACCAGTTGAAACACATGATATTTACTGTAGACAATAGAAAAAATACATGACTTATGTCATTTCCCTTAGGCACTGAACTTATTCAAGCCCAGCTTTTCAATTTTTTGGTATCTGATATATGAGAATGTTAATCTATATACAACACTGCATTTTATTTAAGTTTGTTTTTCTAGCATTCATTGTGGTGTCTGCACCTAAGAGATACTCCATAGATGTTTGCCAAATAATGAAAGGTATGATTTCTGGGACTGATTGCTGGATAACCCGTAATAAAAATAATGACATTCCTAGTTACTACAGTCAAAGTATGTTATCACCATTTTAGATAACCAACCAATTTCAAAGAAATTCTAAATTTTAATTTAGAATATAAAAATAGCCTTGTTCTGAAAAAAAATTATAGACCTCATCCACTTTGCCAACACACAAGCAAGCCACTACAGAGAAGACAATAATTAACAGCTAATCTGTTAGGTAGATGAATAGGAAACAAACTTACATAACTCTGTAAGTTATTGCTGGTTAAGAAGTTATGGTATTCAAGTCTCAACTCCTCTGGTGAAATATCTGTAAAACCTGAAGCGAGGAATCAATTGGAATCTTTAAATACCAATACTTTTGATAGTATAGTAAAATAAGAGGTACTAGAAAGGAAAATATGCTAATCTTGATCATTAGAAAAATTTCATAATCATAAGGAAAAAATTCAAAGCCTATACTCTATTTAATAAAGTATAAAATTAGAATAAAATATAGTTTATCTGATCTTTGAAGGGGAAAAATTTTCTAAAGATAAATGGAGTGGAAGGAATAATAAACAAAAGAAACAAGAAAGAGTTGACTACATATACATTCATACTGCTAAAAAAATATATTCTGTAAGTCAGAAACTACAATAGCAAAATTGAAAGGCAAACAGTAAACTGGGAAAACCATAACTGCAACATATATGACAGGAGAAGAGCTAACATCAATGTATAAATAGCTATTATAAATCAGTAAGAAAAATAAGTTAGTATGGGCAAAGATAATGAACGGGCAATTCACAAAACAATTCAAATAGCCAGTAAATAAATGAAATTAAAAAGTTCACGCAAAAGGGCTTCCCTGGTGGCGCAGTGCTTGAGAGTCCGCCTGCCGATGCAGGAGACGCGGGTTCGTGCCCCGTTTCGGGAAGATCCCACATGCCGCGGAGCGGCTGGGCCCGTGAGCCATGGCCACTGAGTCTGCGCGTCCGGAGCCTGTGCTCCGCAAATGGGAGAGGCCACAACAAAAAAAAAAAAAAAAAAAAAAAAGTTCACGCAAAAAAAAAAAAGTTCAATTTAAAAATACAACTTAAATAGAGATACAATGCTTTATCAGACTGACAAAAATTAATAATGAATAATTGTTATTAAGGATGTGGTGAAATGGACATTCTCCTAAGTTGTCATTATGTAAATCAAAAAGGTAAACTTTTCTGGGAGGAAAATTGTCAATAAATGTCAAATCCCTTAAAAATGCTCATACCTTTTGATCTTAGAATTTCTAGGATTTAACCTCAGGAAATAATTAAATGTATAAACAAAGGGTGTTACATAAAAAGATGTTCAGTCTAGTATTTTTAGTAATGGAGACACTGAAAACAAAGCAGAATACAACACTAGGTTATGATTCCTAATTATACCTATAAATAAGAAATATGTGTGTGCATGTTTTGAAAGAAATACACTAAAATGTTACAGTTGTTATCTCTGAGATTAGTTGAGCTTTAGTCACATATTTTTGTATTTTCCAAGTTTTCTATGGCAACAGCTGTAACTTTCATAATTAGGAAAACTTTTTAAGAAAGGAAAAAAAAGTTCAGGATATTTTTCTACAGAGAATTATTTGTAACCAGACACCATTAACTCCAAAGACTCTTACCTCAGAATAAAGAAAAGACTAAACATTCAAATCAGAATCCTGGAGCTCTCTAACAACTTGTCTTTACCACCTTTATTAATTGCTCAGGCCACAAAACCTAGAATCACTTTGCATTTCTCTCTTGCCCCATATCTAATTAATAAGCTGCATTTCTCTCTTTCCCCATATCTAATTAATAAGCCTCTTGCCAGTACTAGCTCCAAAACAGAACACGAATTTTGACCTATTCTGTCTCCACTGCTAGTAACTCTCAGTCATCAGCAGTTGTCTCCTAACTCATTGCCCTGCCGCTATTTTGCCCCCCAACAGACCATTTCTTTTCATACAACAGTCTAAGTGAGCTTTTTAAAAATTAATTAATTTTAATTATTTATTTTTCGCTGCACTGAGTCTTTGTTGCTTGTGCGTGGGCTTTCTCAAGTTGCAGTGAGCAGGGGTTGCTCTTTGCTGCTGTGCGCAGGCTTCTCAGTGCGGTGCCTTCTCTTGTTGCGGAGCACGGGCTCTAGGCGCACGGGCTTCATTAGCTGTGGCACGCGGGCTCAGCAGTTGTGGCTCGCGGGCTCTAGAGCACAGACTCAGTAGTTGTGGTGCATGGGCTTAGCTGCTCCACGGCATGTGGGATCTTCCCGGACCAGGGCTCGAACCCATGTCCCCTGTGTTGGCAGGCGGATTCTTAACCACTGTGCCACCAGGGAAGTCCCTAAGTGAGCTTTTTCTAATCAGATCATATCCCTCCTCCTGCTCAAAGCTCTTTCTGGCTTCCTAGTGCAATTAGGCCCAACATAATCTGGCCCCTGGCTGCCTCTCTCTGGCCTTATGTCATATTACTCTTTCTCTTATTTACTCTCCTCTGGCAATTCAGGCCTTGCTAGACGAAATACATGCCAACCTTGTTTCCACAAGGGTCTCTGCACTAGCTATTGTACTGTAAGGAACATTTTCCCCCAAATCTTCCCATAAGTGACATCTTCTCTTCATTCAGGACTCAGCTCCAATACTGCTTCCTAAGAATAGATAACCACTCTCTGTGAAGAAACACTATCCCTCTGGCTACTTTCTCCTTCTTCCATCTGTTACTCATCTGAACCATGAAGACAGAAAATGATTTGAGTGACTATTTCCTCAATTCTTTCAAGGATGGTACAAACGTAGTATCATTCTAGCTGCACAAGAAAAATTAATTTATAATGGATGCCTACAGACAGTGATTCTCCAACTTTCTGGTTTCAGGACCATTTACATTCTTAAAAATAAATAAGGATGGCAGACCTTTTGCTTACATGGGTTACATAAATCAATATTTACCATATTTGAAATGAAAACTGAAAAATTGTAGAAAATATTAATTCACTTAAAAATAAGAAATACATCAACATAAATGAAAAAACTATTTTCCAAAACAAAAAATAAAAATTTAGTGATATAAGTGGCATTGTCTTATGTTTGTAAATCTCTTTAATGTATGGATTCATAGAAGACTGTTGGATTATTATATCTGCTTCTGCTGTTCAATCTGCTTCAACCTGTTTCAGTATATTGCCTGGTTCAAGTATATGAAGAAAAACTGTTCTCACACAGATGTGTAGCTGGAAAAGGATGACTTTAATGGCCTTTTCAGATAATTGTGGATATCCTTCTTGATACTATACCAAAATTTGACAGACAGTAGTTTCTTAAAGGTTAGCTATAATGTGGACTCAAATCATATTAATGAAATCATATTAAGAAACCAAAACTATTAATTCTTTTATCTTGCACTTAGAAAGGATTTTTCAAACATGCATAATTTTGTAACATCACACATTGGTCATCTGGAAAATATTGGTTCACTGAGTTATCCAGAACCTCCAAATGTTGGCACATGTCATCTTACAATATCAAAAAATTTGTTAATGTTACTTTGTGTGTGCTTTCCATTTTGTCACATAGAATATTTAAAAGGTGTACACTTAAGGGTCAATATTTAATAAACTTAATAATTTTTACCTCTTCATCAAGGACATTCTTAAGTGAAAATGGCGTTAAAATTTTTTTTTATTGACTATTATAATCTGCTAGTACAGTTTGTTGCCTGTGCCTCATCAAAGCTTTTGTACGAACAGTGCAAATGTCAACACAGTGAAAATGGCAATTAATGTCTTAGTATTATGAAAATATTTCTAAACTTGTACAGCCCCTAAAAGGATTTTAGCAATAGGGTTGCCAGATTTAGACAAATAAAAGAGGATGCCCAGTTAAATTTGAATATTTGACAAACAACAAATACTTTAAAAGTACAAGTATGTCCCAGGAATTCCCTGGTAGTCCAGTGGTTAGGACTTGGCACTTTCACTGCCGTGGGCCGGGGTTCAATCCCTGGTCTGGGAGCTAAGATCCCATAAGCTGCATGGCGCAGCCAAAAAAAAAGTATAAGTATGTTCTAAATACTATATGGGATATTCATATACTAAAAATACTGTTTATCTGAAATTTAAATTTAACTGGATGTCCCATATTTTATCTTACAACCCTGCTTATGGATCTACATTTCACACTGAGAACCACTGCTCTAGGGCATCAGGCATTATGTTCAATTCTGAACTTTTTTAAAAAGGCTTAACACTTATTTTCTTTACAGAAAAATCACTATCTAAAATTATCTTATTTATTTGTATTACTTATTGCCTCCATCCCTCAAGAACATAAACTTCATAAGGGATGGATCCTATCTATCTTACTCATTGCTATATCCCTAGCACCTAGAATGAGGCCTGGCACAAAAGAAATTCAATAAGTATTTGTTGAATGATTAAGTAAATAAACAACTAAGGAGTGGTGTGACACAAATGCTCACAGAGAATGAGCAGACAGAGCAGAGACAGACAGAAATCCCAGAGTTCTGAGAGACTGAAAGGGCTCTCATCTTCTAGGCACTTGCTGTTCAACTTAATAGGGCCCAGGACCACCCAGAGTAGGCTTAGAAAACTGTGGTGGTCTAACGCAAGAGGGAGGGGATATGGGGATATATGTCTGCATATAGCTGATTCACTTTGTTATACAGCAGAAACTAACACACCATTGTAAAGCAATTATACTCCAATAAAGATGTCAAAAAAACAAAACAAAAACAACTGTGGTGGTCTAGCTTTCAGCCCAAAAAGGGTTATGGACAAAAGAAAATGGGAAGGAAAGGAGTATTCTAAAGAAATGCTATCTCTGTAGCCCAGCTAAGGCTCCTTACCTTCAAATATTACCCCCAGAATAGATCTCAACATGCTTTATGAAAAATAACTATCCTTAGAAAAAAAGATAGGGGAGAAAGAGAACAGAATCAGGCAGCCAAAGCCTTGGCATAACGGGACTCTTCTATTCACTGCAGGCAGCTAAAGGGTTCTGAAGTTGTATCTACAGGAAACCAAGGAAGCAGAGCCTCTTCTTGGCCTTACAGAATTGGAAAGGTCGTGGTTCCTGATTCTACTATTTTTCCCAAGGGATCTATATATCTTAAACTATATCTTCCAACCTCAACCTCTGAATTATGAAGTTCTGCTAGAATACTTGGATACTTTAAACAATGTCCAAACTCTCCTAACTGTAGCTAAGATTGTGGTTGATTTCTTTATTTGACATAGTCTTGGTTTTAGAAAATAATAGTTGTAAGACACATTTTAAAAACACATAATTTCTAGTTACCTGAAATATTAGGTTTCTTTTTCACTGGTGAATAAACAGAAAACATCCACTGCCCTGATGATTCCCAAACCTCCATATCTTTTACAATTCCTTCCCTGAAAAAAAAAAAAGGGCAAAAGATCTTTTTCTACTGATTGTTAAAATTTACCACTTATAATTTTCAATGATTGAAATTTTAAATTGTAGTAAATATATAATTTTAGATTTTTCCGTTATATTTTCTGAGGAGTGTTCTTTAAAGCAGAAGCTTGTAGAAATATGAGCTACATTTCATGATTATAAATATTATAATATCAAAGAAGTTCATAATTTTGGTTTTCTAATACACTGAACCATTAACTGATACATTTACTGAGAATTCAACTATCATACCATACATATCTTAAAGAACTGAAATATAATAAAATACACAATACTAAGTTTAATCTTTCTTTGTTCATTATTAACATCAATGATCATTTAACTGAGAAAGAAAGAACCAGTAAGTAATAAAGAACCATAAAATATTTAAGTGGTTAGGACTTCAGAGACCATTTTGTCTAATTCTCACATTTTGCAAAAAGGGAACAGACCCATGTCCATGGTTAACTTGTTGGCAAAGTCATGGATATATCTGGGTCTAAATAAAGTATTTCCCCCTTATCCAGAATAGCAGAATTAATCAAATAAGAATAACTGATAAGAAAATAATAATAAAATTTAGGATTTTTATGACAACATCAAATACAGGAAGGAGGGTTTCTTTTTTCTTTTTAAATTTTTTTAATTTGGTTTTTTACTTTATTTATTTATTTTAATTAATTATATATGGTACATGGTTCAAAATGTTTACAACTAGTCTAATTTAGTTATGGGATGTAAAAGACTAATGAGTATATTTAAGTTCTGTCCTAATTGCTGGGGGCTGACGGAACAGTTATACACAGCCAGGCACTGTTTCGGCACCAATCATAAATTCTACTATGAATGTTCTCAATAAATGGTAAGAAATCTACTCCACAATAATGAAGGAAATCAAATGAAATGTTTACATGGGCTTACTGAAGTAAAAGTTTTAGAAAGAAGAATACGAGATGCTATTATAAGTGACCTCCATGATCACAAGTTGCATTATTGCTATACATTCCATCCTCAGGCTTATTTATTTTATAACTGGAGGTTTATACCTCTTAATCCTCTTCAGCTATTTCACCCACCCTCCCCTCTGGCAGCCATCCATTTATTCTCTGTATCTATGAGTCTGTTTTCATTTTGTTTAGTTTTTTAGATTCTGCATATAAGTGAGATCACATGTGGTATTTGTCTTTGTCTGACTTATTTAGTATAATGCCCTCTAGATTCATCCATGTTATTGCAAATGGTAAGGTTTCTTTTTTATGGCTGAGTAGTATTCCATTGCATTCCACACTTTTGATGGGAGGAGTTGCAGAGAATATGGTCATTTTTAGTCCATCACAATCCCCATCATATACATGAGATTCAGTAAATTTAAGTAACTTTTCCAAGACTACATAGCTCTTAAGTGGCAATTCGAGCCTTTGAACCCAGGTCTGTGTGTTTGAAAAACCCATGAGTTTTTCTGGGTTTGAGTCACCATGCCCTGGTGGGGTATAACTACAACATTCGATAATCCAGAGAGCAAATGGGTATTTTCCTGCAGTGCTGGTGTGGAGTGGTGGAGAACGGAGAAAGAGACATAGAAGCAGTGATCTGTGATGTCTGGATTACTGGCATCACAAGTTTGTCCAGTCTGTTTGGAGAATATATTTGCCTGATACTTGCCTGATTCTGTAAATATGTTCGGGCTCCTGCTGTTCTCCTGCCCCGTACTTGAGTACAAGCTTATTTCTAAAAGTAAATTCTTCAGTGGGACTCAGATATTCTATATTCTTGGCCTTGATGTTTCTCTTTCTCTTATGCATTGTAACATTCTTTTTCTACATAAGCCTTTGGATCATCTACAGTTTGAGAGTTTGAAAGACAGTTGTCCCAAGTCGGTTGTTTTCAAAGAGTGGGGGGTCCCTGAGTCCCTTTCAGGGAGTCCATGAGGTCAAAACTATTTTTATAATGCCAAGGTATTATTTGCTTTTCTCTGCTTTCATTCCATCTAGGGTGTAAAGTGGAGTTTTCCAGAAGCTAAGTAATGTGTGATACTGCAACAGATTTTAGTGGAAGCAGATATGAGAATTCCACTCCTTCCTACTAAGACATTAAAGGGACTTGAAAAAAAAAAACTAATGAAGTCTTCTCTTTTGTTCCTTTTTTTAAAAAAAGTTACTTTTTATTAAAAATGTATTTTTATGTTAGCATATTAAGAGTTTGCTGTGATTTTTAAATTAATACACAAATATTTTTAAAGTTTCTCATTTTGTTTCTCATAGTAATAAAATAAATTTTAACTTACTTTTAATTAAAAATTAATAATAGTCACAGAAGCTCTTTGGAGTCCTCAATTTAAGATAGAGTTCTGAAAGCAAAAAGTTTTCATTATTTTATTAGCTGCCATTTGCAAAGCTTGGGCAATTTGCTCTCTTTTAATCCTCCCAGCAAACCTATCAGGAAGGTACCCCATTAATCTCCTCCCAGAGGCATAAACTAGGGCTCAAAATCATTAGCCACACAGCTTGCATGCTGTGCAGCTAGAATTTGAAGCTAGTTCTATCTGACCCCAAAATCAAACTTGAAGGAATCAGTAACCTCCTTGCATGCAATATACCTGTTGCTTTCCTGGACAGAGAGGTTGAAGCAGAGGTCAAGAAGACTGGATGAATTATTTGAGATGGCTCAGGCAGCTAAAAGCCAAGACCTTCTGCTGTCTGTTCTACTCCTCATAGGGACTTGTCCTTTCAAATGGCAATTCCTTTTGTGAGAAAGGAATGCCTTCAAATTCAAATGATACTATGAACCTGGTGGAGGTCTGTTCCCCTTATAACAGGCATTTCTAATAGCACAGTATGCAGACTTTGCTGAGCACTCAACAAGGAAGAAACGTTTGTCCAGTTATCACATTCTAAACTGCCAAAATACATGTGCATTGCCTTAAGTTTTTCAATTATGTTACAGGTCAGCTTGTGCATTTTATCTGTTCGACTCTCTTTTGTAAAACAATTACAATGGTAAAAACAAAGAAACTATTGAGTACTTAACTATGCGTCGGTCACCGAGAGGAAGACTTGATACCAAGGTCTCTCTGAATCCTCACAAGAATACTCCCAGGCTGGCAGTGGGGTGTCCTACCTGCTTTACAGATAAGGAGATGGGCTTGCCGAGGGGAAGCTACTTGCCTGAGGTCACCCAGCTAGTAAGTAGGCGGTGAGTCAAGTATCAGACCCAGGTCCGGGTGGTTCCCAGGCTAAGATTCTTAACCAGCATGCATTGCAAGATCCTAAAAGGCAATGTCAATCTGTCTGTGGAAAGGAGTTCCCCAAAGTAAACTTGAAGTAGCCCAGGTAAATTAGGAAAGGGTCACAATTTTATGGTCAGAGATTTTAAGGAAAAACCAAGTGATGCAACCTCTTCATGTAATAAGAAAACAGATACAATTCTTTAATTTTGTCCTTAGCTTAACCCTTCACTAACATCCAGCAGCTCGGAGTGTACAGAGAAAGGCAGTAAATTCCTCATCTGTATCCCAGTGTGCCAACTGTTTTGGTTTTAATTGTGTCAGGTGTGTCTTCCTTCTGCCTGGAGGTCCTTCCTTAGGTTTGAAAATATCATGATCACATCAACAGTGTGAGAGGTGGTGGGAGAGCTGAGGTTCCACATGTGTCAACAACAGATGTGCACGTCTCCTGGAGCACTGGAAAAAAGAGTAATAGGAGTTCCCTTAGGGCTGTGCTCCACGTGCCCCAGGAGGGGATAAGGACGAAAGCCTCTGTAATTTATATTGACTGCTGAGGTAACCAGGTGCTTTCAGCAAGCATTCCAGTTGCAAATTTGGGTTTTAACAACCTTCCCAACAACCTCTGATTCCTCTTAAAAGTAAAGAGGGAAGAGATATGGGAACATATATATATGTATAACTGACTCACTCTGTTATAAAGCAGAAACTAACACACCATTGTAAAGCAATTATACCCCAATAAAGATGTTAAAAAAAAAAAAAAAAAAGTTGCTTTAAATCACCTCATACTTTGTAAAGAACTCATAATTTAATATAAGCAGGACTACATTAGAAAGATATTCACAGTACGCTGTTATCAATAGAAAAGTGGAAAAAGCATAATTATCCCCAAGAACTCACTGTATTGATAAAGAAGAATGACATTTTTAAGTGAAATAAAGTCTAGTATGATACCTGCAAAATAGTAGTTATCTCTGATCATGGATGTTTTTTCTGCTTTTTGTTTATTCTGATTTTTTAATAATTTAATAAAGTAATAATAACATTACCTCTTTTTTAAGGAAAGTACTGTAGGTACTTTTGAAAAAAATAAGCAAATGGGCAGGAATTTTTCTGAAGGCTTTCACTTACAGAAGTTTCTTTTCATCTTTCTGCCCATCAGAGCTAGGTGAAGCAAATGGGTTCTGAGACAATCCAAACCCCCTGTTCCTGCTAGCTGACGCTCCAGAATCAAAAGAAGCAAAAGATGGCTTTTCTTGATCTTTGCTGCCCCCCCATGGTGTGGATTTGGAGAAACTGGATGGCTGGATAACACTGGAATATCTCTGGCTGGTGGTATTCCATCCTCGTCTGTTACTACCTGAAATAAACAACAAAATAAACAATTTTACTAGCAACTCATTTTTAAAATCTCTTAAAATTTCATTGTAGTTTGTCTTATTATATGTGCAGACATTATTTAAAGATTCAACAAGCACTACATTTCCACTCATTTTTTTTTGCGCTACGCGGGCCTCTCACTGCTGCGGCCTCTCCCGTTGTGGAGCACAGGCTCTGGATGTGCAGGCTCAGAGGCCATGGCTCACAGGCCTAGCAGCTCCGCGGCATGCGGGATCTTCCCGGACCGGGGCACGAACCCGTGTCCCCTGCATCGGCAGGCGGATTCTCAACCACTGCGCCACCAGGGAAGCCCTCCACTCATTTTATTTTATTTTATTATTATTTTTTAAATTTATTTTTTAACATCTTTATTGGAGTATAATTGCTTTACAATGGTGTGTTAGTTTCTGCTTTACAACAAAATGAATCAGTTATATATATATACATATGTTCCCATATCTCTTCCCTCTTGCGTCTTCCTCCCTCCCACCCTCCCTATCCCACCCCTCCAGGCGAGCACCGCCTCCACTCATTTTAAATTACAAAACTCTTCATTTTCAATTTATATAGGTAAGTGTAGTATCAACAAATCACATAATGGTCTAAGTTAACAAGATTGAGAAAACTGTAAATCCACAGAAAAATAATGATATATTACTAAATTCAGCTGACCTAAGTTTATTAGGTAAACAACTGTTCGATAATGGAGTGGATAGAAGGCATGTATCCAAAATCGTAAGCTCCTTCATGATAAAAAGATGTGTCTGTACCATTCTTTGCTCCCCAACTGGGCCCTATATAGTAGTAAAATCTGAAAAACAGACAATGTATTGAGAAGTGTATTGAATATAAAAGATTAGAGTCTACCTTCTGTCCTTGAATAGATGGGTAAATCTATTGGACTCCGCATTCTCTCTGAGAAAACAACACCTACCTTCCATAGGGAGATTATAGAGGTAATTTACACATGAATAAAGTGTACTGAGTTCCTCTATTACGAGCAGATTTCTAGTATTCTATAATTATCAAAATGAGCCAACATTTTTCTCCTGTCTGTCTCTATATTTTACAAAATTTTTTCACTTCTACTGTCTCATTTATTCATCACTTAGTTGGGGTCAAGATAATTCACCTTGTTTCTGAATGAATTAGGAGATATGCCATTAAATATGTATATTAAAAACTCGAGTGATGGGAGATACACTCCTTTATGAAAATTCACCTCCCAATTCTAAAACTGCTTAACGAAACCTAAAAGGAAAGGGGGCAGATTGCTAGACCAGATGCCTCAAGGGATCTGGGTTAATGATATTTTATTTTCCTAGAGTTTCAAATCCTTTGCGGGGATGACACAACTGAAGAAATTCATTCCATCTTTTGTATACAGCTTTTGGTCTTCATACTTACTAATTCCATAAGCATTTATTTGTTTCTAGGCATTAAATACACTGTTTACTTGACTAGTTTTATCTCCACTTTTAAAATCCATTAACATTCATCCATTCAACATTTATTCTCTAATTACTGCGTTTAGAGTGAGTCTCAACAGAATGTCATATTATGTTTTGTTGTTCCTGGAAATACTCGCACATTTATCAGATCCTGAGTCTTAATTTGTGGTTTGGAATATTTCACTAGACCAATTGTGGGTGATGCAAAAAGACTGTCCCCAAGAAGAGGAATCAGACGTGAAACCACAATGTAACACAAGGTTTAAGGGTCAGATGAATAGCCCTAAAGGAGGAAAGAGAAGGGAGAGGTGGTCAGCATCTTGTGGTACCTTTAAGGACTAAGTTTCAGTCCTAAGAAAACCTAACGACTCATCTGACCTCTAAAACCTTGCATTGTACAATGGTTTCATTTCGGACCCCTCCTCTCCTCGAAGACAGTCAATCCTTTTGCATCATCCACAATTGGTTTAGTGAAATATTCCAAAAGCTTCGACAATGACTTAGGCCAGGAAGCAGGTCAACGTAGTCCTGCACCCCCTTCCCTCATAGCCCAGAGTTCTTAACTGAGCATCCCACTCTCGATTTTACCCCAAATTTTATGAGCATGTGCATTTATCTGAGGTTAATGGCTCTGTAGCTTTTATTAGATCTTCAAAGGAGTTTCCCAAAGTTAAGAATCCTGACTTTGACCCCAGTTGCTAGCCCCTCCCTAGAAACAAGTTTAGAAAAAATTATATTCAAGGCATCAAGGGGAAAAAACAAGTACGCAGAAAGGTAGTAAAGTAGTAAAGAAAGGAGGCGTCTGGGTCGACCTATGCCAATTCTGCGAACCACTGCCGCCCAAAGACAAGTTCTGACACGTACTCCGACTTAAAACTTAACTGTTTTTCATGAGTAACCAGGACCAAGCCCATGCCTCCAACCGCTCAACAAAAGCCAACCGAGTTCCTAATAAATGAATAAAAAAGCCGGTGGGCGGGGCGGGCGAGGGGACGACGCGGGAACGTCCGCGTCACCTGACTGGTGCGCCACGGCGCTGTGCCCAACGGCTGAGCCCACGAGGGACGGCCGTTCCTCTCCGGCTCGGCCCCACGAAAGGCCTTCCCCAGCTCGGCTAGGGACGAAGGATGGAGGTGAACGTCACCTGAGGGCTGCTGCTGCCGTCCTTCGCCCGCACCCCCGGAGCCGGGATGTTCGTTCCAGCACCGATCTCCGAAGCGACACCGGCCTTGAAGGAAGAACTGACAAATGGTCATGGCGACTGCATCGCGGACGGAACTGTTTTCAGTCGACACCCTCAGCTAGCAGAGCCCCAAACAGCCGGAGTTCGCGGCTCCGCTACTGTGACGTCATCCTCTCGCGCCTGGGAAAGGCCCTTTCTCTCTTGTCCCGTCCCCACTGCGAAGAGAGGCGTGGATTTCACCCAATAGGATTTGAGAAGAGTGGGACCGCCCCCCACGCACTGAGCGTGGCCTGGGAAGGCAGGATGATTGAAAGGTTACGTAGAGAAAGGCGTCGAAGACAGTGGTGCAACGTCTCGTTCATCAGGGGAGGCTTGAGGTCCAAAATGAGAGGAAAGAAAGTTGGTCGGGCAAACCCATAACTTCAGCAAGGCCCTGAGAGGAGGATCAGCTGTGGTTTGAGAGACCGAGTCGTATTTTTCATTTGTAACTGCTGAGAAAGTAAAAATCTGCCCAGCCATTCATCAGGATGGGTAACAGTATAAGATAAAGCCAGTTGTAACGCTTACAGGAAACAGTTTCTTTTAAGGAAAAACTGCAACCAAAAAGTATCATAACCCGCATCTTTGGATGAGTACTACATTCTTACACGGAGAAACCTTGTTCTTTATAGTCCATGTAAACGTTACTATTTGAAATTTTATTAGTAAGAATGAAACATTCCACTCTTGCCTGGAGGATCTAAGACACTTTGACACAGAGAAGCAGCTTGTATTTCTAATCAGGTGCAGAGCTGCAGACAAGGGGTTCCTGAAAAGAACATTGCTTATTCTCTTAACTTTGTGGTTTCCAAGGGAACATGATCCTACACCCATGTCTCACTCCAGATGTGATGTTGATGCCTCTTTACACCGCTCTGCTTTGCTTTGAGACTGTCAAAACTGTTTCACTTAGATTTTATCTGAACTCCACCTTTCCCACAAATCTTACATCTACCTTTTCCATTGTGTGGTGAGACACCCTACAGTTCCTCTAGCGTGCAGTCTCCTTGGTTGCAATGCGTCAATAAATCTGACTGTTGGATTACAGGTTCGTCCCCGGTGGATGACTAGCCATTGTTCTTGCTCATATACTTTGTTTGGATTTTGATGACAGCAGAATCTACAGGAGCACTGGGAATAACTGGTGCAACCTAGTTTATTTTTTTAAAAATCAGTTTAATTCATTTATTTTGAAAAACATTTATGGAGTTACATGTATATATAGTACAAAGATCTTTTTCCTGAACCATGAGACTATATTGCAGACCTCATGCCCCAACACCCAATTATTTATTGTTATTTTCTACAGACAAGGACATTCTACTTAACCACAATATAATCACCAAAATCAGGACATTAATATTGCTGCATACTACTATCTAATCCTTAGATTCTGTTCATATTTTGCCTGATGTCCCAGTAATGTCCTTTAAAGAACAAGGATGCAGTTCGGAATCATTGTTGCCTTACTCATATTTCTTCAGGCTTCATTTTGGAACATTTTCTCAGTCTCTCCTTGACTTTCATGACCTTGACACAAACATTACAGCTAGTTATTTTGTACAATTTCCTTAATGCAGACTTATCTGTTTTCTAGTAATTAGATTATGCATCTTTGGCATCCATGGTTTTCACAATGTACCTGTCAAGTTGTGCACAATTTCTGTTTGTCACATTGTCACGTTCACTTTGATCACTTAAGGTGTTGTCTGGCAAGCTGCTCCAATGTAAAATTACTTTTCCTCTTTGTTAGTAATGAGGATTTTGTAGGGAGAGACTTTGAAAGTATATAAAAACCTCATTCCTCACCAAACTTTTAGTTCACTCATTTATTCCTATCACTATGACTTATGGTTTCCAATTTTATTCATTGGGTTATAATTTGTTACTATAATTTATTGTGATGCTCAAATCATTTCCAGTTGACACATCCCATGATTCTTTGAGCACTTCACTTCCTGGCCTAAAAGATGCTCCAGGGTCATCTGACACTTTCCCTGCTTCAGTCCTGGAATCAGCCTGTTCTCCAAGGAGCCCTGGGTCTTTTTTGGTGGCACTTAGAAGCCAAGATCTGAGCTCTAAATTTGCTCATTGCTATTGTGGTATCTTTGTTCCCAAATCCTTTCATGGGCATTGCTAGAGAATACATACTATAGACACATTTACATTAATACATATTCCTATATCTATATGTCTATTAAAAACTATGACTGCACACTGATAGCCTCCAATTTCAACCCAAGATCACAGAATTCATTTTATTTCCCCTCTGTATTTCTTTCATAGTGAGAAACTTGGCTCCCATCATTCTTAACATATCTATTTTGAACAGTCCCCTTGTAGTAAGGAATCTCTCACTGTGTTCACTGACTTTTCATCCATGCAAATGCCAGCATGTGTAAGAACTTTGCTGGCATCAAAGACCTAAAATAATACCAGTTAGGCTGAAGCTTAAACAAGGGTGTGTATGGTGCTCCGTGAAGGTGGAGAGGTGGGCAAAGCCAGAATCCTGACTGAAATCATCTGGATAAAGTGCTGTGTGAGATGATGACAGCCTAGGGCTGAGGCATGTAGAACTCAGTAGTGATAGGGGAGGGGTAGGTGGAAATCAGGAGAGTGAGGTCACGGGAAGGAAACGTCTGGTTTCAAGGTGGCAGAGTAAAAATGCCTCTGCCACCCTTTCCTCTTGAAAATATCTCAAAATGAGGGGGAAAACAAGCAAAAACATCATCTTTGATTATACTAGGAGATAACTGTAATTTCAAACCACAATTTATGAAGACTGAATGCACATAGAAGAGTACATAGTAAATTACTTAGAGGAAGAATCATATTCCTGTAAGATGGACAACTGATGTCCCCAGAGAAGGCTGAAAAGCCACATTAAGAACCACTAGGTATCACAGAACGGTGGACTGTTTGAAAATCTGTATGAGGTTCAGTTAGAATTCCATTAGGTGACTATCCTTACCTGTTGGGAGATAGGTTCTTTTCTTGAAAAAAGGGAACAAGAGAGGCTTTAATAGAGTCCAGGATGTAAATATAGAGGGTCAAGTTATGGTACTGACAAAAGAGGAACTGAACTCTGCCTGTTGAATGGCGCTTTGCCTGAGCTCCAGAAATCCTGCAGCCAGGCTTATTGTCAGTCTCTTCCCAGCTTGCTCTCCCACACCCAAGGGGCAGGAGTTTGTAAGTTTATATTCTGGAGAATCAAACATCCCAGAAAAAGATCTGTGGATCTCTTATGGATCTCCAACAAAAACAGACAGCCAGGGGCTTCCCTGGTGGCACAGTGGTTAAGAATCTGCCTGCCAGTTCAAGGGACAAGGGTTTGAGCCCTGGCCCGGGAAGATCCCACATGCCGCAGAGCAACTAAGCCCATGCGCCCCAACTACTGAGCCTGAGCTCTAGAGCCCGCGAGCCACAACTACTGAGCTCATGTGCCACAACTACTGAAGGCTGCGCGACTAGAGCCCGTGCTCTGCAACGAGAAGCCACGACAATGAGAAGCCCGTGCACCGCAACCAAGAGTAGTCCCCACTCACCACAACTAGAGAAAGCCTGCACACAGCAACAAAGACCCAACACAGCCATAAATAAATAAATAAATAAATAAATTTATTAAAAAACAGGCAGCCATTTCCTTAACATATGACGAGATTCACTGACAATTCAGCTCATGTTTGTAAACAAAAGTTCACAACTTTTTAATGTCTAATTTTAAATATACAATGCACAGCCAGGCACCAGATATTTGAGGAAAGACTCCAACAGGAAAGAGCAAAGCAATCTAAAAAGAAGTCAGAGGAAAGAGAAACACACCAAAAATATAAGTAATGTTAAGGAAACTAAAATATCCTCAGACAGGGCAACATGAAACAAGACCAGCATGCTATATAAAAGGACAATCCTAAAAAGAAAATGCTCTTGGAAATTAAACATGGATAGTGGAAACAAATTCAATGGATGGTTGGAAGATAAAGTCAGGGAAATCCCCTACAAGAACTGAATAAATTATACTCCAATGAAGATGTTAAAAAAAAAAAAAGAACTGAATGAACCAGACCGTGAACCCCATTTTACAGCTTTGTTATCAGAATAGGTTTAAAGCTCTGGAAAGTAAAAAAGCTTTCTAGTTAGTAAGGATGACATTTCAGACAATTTCCCAGTACAGATTTTCTCCTAAAGTAGTTTGAATTACCTTGGGAAGGAGGAAACTTACGAAGATGAAAGTAGATTCCTTTTGAGGCAACTGTAAGGAGAAAGGGGGTTATTTAAAGGAATGATTATCAAGTGCTGAATGATGTAACCTGTAAAATATTCTTTCATATTAACAAATTATGGGGACTTAGTGAGAGCTGTCTTGGTGCCATGTTTGAGTGGATTGAATTTTTGAAGTTGTTGATGTGTGTTAACACTACCACCCTTAAAAAGCAAAATTTCCTTCAAATATCTCCTTTACCCTGGCCTCTGCAACAAATCCAAAATATTTTCTGTTAACAGTATATGAGGCAAAAGGAAAATAGACTGCTGGTTTTAAAAAATGGCTCTTTTCATGACTCTAAATTTTCCATGACACTATATGTCACATTTCTGAAAGCTAGGTCACAATTGTAATTAATGACTGTTTTTGACAGCAACAACTTTTTTCAAGACATTAAAATTTCATGTTCACGCTGTGATTTTCAAAAGTAAAAGCTAAACTGCTATGTCATCAAAGTCATGTCACTGTAAAAAATATAACATTAACAATCACATATCTACTAAAAAGAAAGTAGAGCACTATACAGGATAGGAATTTTGGGTGGGGGAGTAACAGAAAATATACTCGCCAACATATTGTACTTTTACTCATTATCATGATATTGACAATATCATAGACTATTTCCAGGACAGAAAACAGACACTAATTAGAATTACTAAGATTACTAAGGAAAAAAACCACACACACTTCATTATAACCTACATCAAAGCTGTCTACATACTTATCGTAGTGTGCTTTAGTCAGCAGATACAGCCTAAAGAAAAGGGTAGTTATTTAAAATACCTTAAACAGCTGCATATTCCCATATGGGAAATTATTGTATCAAATTAAGTAATATAACCATTGTAATATGATAAATGGATATTCTACCCTCAAAAAACATTGACACATTTTTTTTCAACGGAGAGGAAAATTCAAAATCCAACATAAAAATGTTCAGAATGGGCAAATCTAGAGACAGAAAGATTACTGGTTACCTAGGGATGGGGTGTTTGGGAGATGCAACTGGGTTGAATAATGTCTCCCCAAAACTCCAAAATGTGACCTTATTTGGAGACAGTGTCTTTGCAGATGTCATTGGTTAAGATATGGTCACAATGGATTATGAGGAGGGTAAGCTAAATCCAATGACTGTTGTTCTTATAACACCACATGAAGATGCAGAGAGACAAGACACACAGGGAAGAAGGCCCTGTGAAGACTGGGGCAGTGACTGAAGTGATGTAGTTATAAGCCAAGAAACACTGACGTTCGCCAGCAGCCATCAGAAGCTACAGGAGAGGTATGGCAAGTTTTTGCCTCAGAGCCTCCAGAAGGACTCAACCCTAGGAGCACCCTGATTTAGGATTTCCCCAAACTGTGAAAGAATAAATTTTTGTTGCTTCAAGCCACAAAGTTTACGGTAATTTGTTACAGGAGCCATAAGAAGGTAATACAGGGAAAATGGGGAGTGACTGCTAATGAGGATGGGGTTTCTTTTTGTGGTGAAGGAAGTGTTCCAAAATTATGGTGATGGTTGCATAACTCTGTGAATATATTAAAGACCATTGAATAGTACACTTTAAATCAGTGAACTGTATGACATGTAAATTATATCTTAATAAAGCTATCATGTACATAAAACCTTACATAAATAGAAATATATATACCATAATCTTTTTATAATTTTTTCATTTAAACATTTTTAGGTTTTAAGCTTATAACCCCCATTATAAAGAAAACAATAAAAATTAAAGAGAAACATTGTTTCACAAGTTCAAAAAACAACCATTACCTAACACATTTAAAATGAAGAATGAACTTAGCGGTCTACTTGAAGTTTAAAAATATTTAATATTACCAGGTAAAAACATGGATGGTGACAGCTTTACATGGCTCACTCCATACATTTCATAATGTAAAAGGGCAAAACATTACTAGGAAAGAAATGAATAGTTGGGTTTGTAAAAGATTTACTGACCACATATAAGCAATTAATACAAAATGACAAATATTTAACTCAACTAAAAAACTTTTAGAGACAACTGGGTCAAATATCAATGATGTGCTCTGCTAAGGAAGAGAAATCATGTACCTTTCTAATATGTAAGAAGTTCAAAATGTATAACTATCAGTGCTATTCTAGTGACCTAGAAATTTGCTATAAGTAGCTTTCTTTTGCTAGGTAATAATTCTTATAATGATTGGATTTTATTTAACAGAGTGAGCACTGAAGAGGCATAATCCTTTTTTAACCCCTGGGAAAAAAATTGATATAAATTAGTGATGGGTGCTAGGCTTGACATTTTGTGTTAAAAAGATGGAATTATTTAATTGGACAGAATATATTTCATGAGGAGCTGGGTACCTTTTTAACTCTCAAAATGTGTTTATGAAGTTTTGTGAGATATAAGTGTATGCTTTGACTCACTCTGGCTTGCTTTTAAAATGCAATACATTTGGCATTAAATGGAACAAATGAAGACAAGCAAAATTACGTGAGACTAAGCTGCTCCACCAGAACTGCCTATCTTTGACTTACAATTCATACTATTTCTTAGTTCTTGACTGAACAGAAACAAACAGTCCTAACTACATAGCACTTCCATGATGTATGAAAATAGAATCTAGAGCTAAGATGAGGTTGCTTCTATGGTGAGTCAGTCCCCCATTCAGCCATAATCATAGTTACAAATGTGAAATTCATTTAAGAATTCATACTTTCACCAAGTGCTTATAACTTTACAAGTTTTCTTGCTAGATATGTTCTTGGTTATGTGGCCAGCTGAAATATGGTCTTTGAATGAAGAAATCCCATATAAAAGAAAATCTATTTTATAGGAATCTTACTTTACTTGAAACTTCCTTGAAAAGAACAAAACACCAAACTAAAACTTTGTAACCAAACTCTTGGAACAAAGCACTGGTGGCCATACTTATGAGTCTCCAGTGAGTCTTGAAGTTCACTCATTTTTTCATGTTTCAAGGGTTTCTTCATTTGCTCCACAAGTATCAACAACACAAATTAAACAACTTGTTACTGGAAAAGCTCGGACTTTGGAGTTGGCGATCCATTTGTCTGTTTCAGTGTTATATTCAAGGATGTGTCCTAATCGACCCACACCTTGAAAACCAGCCAAGACATAAACTACAGAGCCGACTGCTGCACACTTGACTGTTACACCCTTCCATGGCATTGGTGAGACCATCTTCCATTCGTTTAATTTAATATCGTAATATTCCACATTGTCCAGACCACCTTCAAAAGAATAAAACGTGAACAGCTATATGAACAATTCTAAGATCTCTTAAAGTAATAATTCTTTGGATTTTTTCCAAACCTTTTATTATGAAAAACTTCAAACATGCAGAAGAGTTGTAAGAATTTTACAATGAATCCTCACATATCTACCATTTAAATTCCTATTCTTACTTGGACACAACAGAAATTTAACTTAATTTTCATTTGTCATTTTAGAATCATAAATACTTATATTTATTCTATAAAATTAAAGACGTTCTATCTGCTCTGGAAAAATTAAAAAGTAGACCAGTGAAGTTTCCTTCTGATTAAGTTTGATTATAATCATTCAAATGTCCTTCTTTTTTCTTCTACCATTTATCTGTCAGCAGCTTATGAAAAACAGCAATGGATAGAGACAGAAGAAGGAAATAAAGCTATTTCTTTGTTATACTTAAGTAATGATTAAAAGTACTGACTAAAATAAGCTTTGTGGAATCTTATCTATAGATTCAAATGGATAAATGGATAGAGACAGAAGGAAATAAAGCTATTTCTTTGTTATACTTAAGTAATGATTAAAAGTACTGACTAAAATAAGCTTTGTGGAATCTTATCTATAGATTCAGTCCAAATTCTACATTATTAAAAGCAATTATTTAAGATTCTTTAGTACAACATTATTTAAGAAAATAAAAAGATCAAATTTACTCATTTAAAAAAGTAGTATTGATATTTTCATGCAACGTTTAAAAATGTTTAGGAAACACTACCATTCAGAGCCTGGATACAAGTCCTAAAAGTTAAATTAAAAAGTTTTAAAAGTTATATTAAAGTTCAAATGTTTCTGTCACTCAACAGTTTGTTTTTTTTTTTTTTAATATTTAATTTATTTATTTGGCTGTGTCAGGTCTTAGTTGTGGCATGTGGGATCTTTAGTTGTGGTACGTGAACTCTTAGCTGCAGCATGTGGGATCTAGTTCCCAGACCAGGAATCGAACCCAGGCCCCCTGCATCGGGAGCATGGAGTCTTAGCCACTGGACCACCAGGGAAGTCCCCACTCAATAGTTCTTAAGCTAATGTGATACCATTCCCCAGAGGGTATTTGGAAATGTGCTAAAGCCACCTGAGACTGTCACAATGACTGGTGGCTATTACCTATATTCATGGACAGAAATGTTAAACGTATTACAATGTTTCATAAACCGTTAGTTCACAGAAACTGTAAAAAAAAGTCTAATGATGTATGTGATCAAGAAACATTTTCATAACTTAAAATAAGGAAATATCAGCAAATTCATTGCGAAAGTTGAAAAAGTGAACTAACTTCACATACCTAAGCCATTCTGACCACCCACAGCAAATATCTTGTCTTTTACAAATACCAGTCCATGATTCTTCCTGGCTTCAATCATTGGACACAGCTCAGTCCATCTGAAAAAACAAAGGAAAGTTTTTAGTATACATGTTCACAAGAAGTAAAAGGACTCATACGAATTTATAAGAAAGGTCTGTTATCCCAAGTAAGCGCTCATTTACCACTCACATATGTGTACACATGCACACACACACACACACACACACACAAATGTGCGCCTGCATGTCTGGAAAGCTAGAAAACAAAAGTTTAACAGTGGTTTTCAGTAATTTATAGGTGGGGTAAATAGGGATTTTATTCCTTTCAACTCCAACAGGATATGGGAAACAGAGGATATCTGGAGACTATTAACGTGTCTTTGGAAGACATGCATTTCCTATAGTTCACAATAACTTGTAAAACAGTAACAAACAAAACAGGGAAGATATGTAAGAAAATATAAGGTACTAATATGGTTTTAGTCACATGTGGTTTTAATTAATATTTACATACGGTAATTAAAACAAATTTATCATGGGCCTCTAGCAATCAGCAAATTAGCATATCTGTTACTATTCACACATACATCTTTAAATATACACTTAGAACTTCAGGCAGCTCCTGTCATTCTGTCACGTTTAATAACTTATTAGCATGTTGCTGTGATCACAGGCACTATTATAAAGAAAGAGATTGAGAATATAAATGTGGACACAAGTGTTGAAGGATACTAATTCACAGGTAGCAGCATTAAACACACAGACAATTTTGTTATTGTTTTCTATGAGTTTCATCTCTTCTTTTTTTTTTTTTTTTGCGGTACGGGCCTCTCACCGCCGTGTCCTCTCTTGTTGTGGAGCACAGGCTCCGGACGCGCAGGCTCAGCGGCCATGGCCCATGGGCCCAGCCTCTCTGCGGCATGTGGAATCCTCCCAGACCGGGGCACGAACCCGCGTCCCCTGCATCGGCAGGCAGACTCCCAACCACTGCGCCACCAGGGAAGCCCCCATCTCTTCTTTTGCATGTACTCCCATACAGATAACTGACATCTGTGATTGTGAAGGTGGTACCAGCACACAACTCTTAACAGCTGATATAAATCGAAAGACTCCAAACAAAAACAAAAAAGGGCAATTTGGCATAAGTGTAATGCTCTAATATGGTTATTATTTATTTATTTATTATTTATTTTTTGCGGTACGTGGGCCTCTCACTGTTGTGGCCTCTCCCATTGCGGAGCACAGGCTCCGGACACGCAGGCTCAGCGGCCTTGGCTCATGGGCCCAGCTGCTCCGCGGCACGTGGGATGCTCCCAGACTTGGGCACGAACCCGTGTCCCCTGCATCGGCAGGCGGACTCTCAACCACTGTGCCACCAGGGGAGCCCTAATATGGTTATTTATAACTCTTCTTTTAAATAATTTAATACATTTAACTTTTCAAAACATAATTAGAGCATAATGATGAACTCTGAAATATCAACAACTCTTGTTGCCTTATATTTACATACTTTTGGTTTGTTTTAAAAATGGTTTGACAGTCACCACTCTCATTTTCTGAGCATTCATTTAAAGTAAGTCCTCCTATTTTTCAGGATGAACACACGTGCTCCTCCAGGTGAAAAGACCAGCATTCAGCTCGAAAGTGGGAGAGCCAGTACTCGACTTCCACAGCCTCTCCACACAGTAAGCTGTCAAAGTGTGTTAAACAGACGATCTGACTTGGAAAAATTCAATATACATACCCCTTTCTTCTCTAAATATGTCTACGATATAAAATAAGAGAATGTTTTATGTATATCTAAGTCTCCTCAAGGTTTAGAATTAAGGAAGTTCGTGAAACACGCTTCCTTCCTCCTATAATTCACACGCAGAGTATGCACTAGGTCTCTGCTCTCTCCAACCTGAGTTTAGTGTTCAGTAGCTTTCCTCAAAATTCTAACTGTGGAAACTGTGTTGTGTTGTTTCCATAGGTTTCATTTCTTAGCTTCCAATCCAACACATTCTAGTTAAAAAACACTTTAAAAATTGTCAAAATTGGGAAGAAACAGTTTTACAAAAAATATGTTGGATGGACACAACATATTAGAAAGGAAATCATAGTAGTATATAACATCTTTCATTTTGAGATTTGGATAATTATATTCACACTAGCTTTTCACTTAGGAAAATTTAGAGAATATAGAGAATTCAAATTTAATACATAAGCTCAATATATATAAAAGAAATGCTAAGTTGTGTAAGTTTTAAAATATTCCCCAAACTGATTATATTCACCTAGTTTTAAAAAATATTGAAGTTGTAGAATCCCTTTATACTCTTTCTCTGCTACTATAAACAAGAATATATTGATTTACACTGATACTGCCTGAATAAAGATCTCAGAATTTAGAAGCCTGGAGTTCATATGGTATGGGTTCTACTCTAAGATATTTCTTTAGAAACGAAACAATAATTAGGCAGCAGAATGAATGAGATTACAGTTTTCCAACTAGTATGCTGTAATGTTTTTTGAGTACAGGATTTATGGGAGGTAAAGTAGAGACTGATATAGGAGGGAGGACAGTTGGTATATACCCTGCTCCTATGGTTTAGGACAAGAGGGGATGGATAGATAGCTGGATGATGGGATTAGGATAAGGTGTATCCCCAGTGTGCCCTGGCAAGTACAAAGGTACAGTTTAAAAAAACATTGGGAAGTATTAAGTTTGATGATCTCAAGAGATTTCCTAGTCTAGACACTTAGCAAAAGATAAGTTTCAAGATAAGCTTCTTTCAATTCTATCCCTAACATGGGTGACTAGTTGAGCAAAAAATGAGAAAAGAACAATTGTAATTGCACTTTTCTTTGGGAAAGGAGTTACTGATTTTGCTTCCTTAAATCCTTCAAAAATAGGTGGGAAGCATAAATAACTACAAATGACAATCATATTTTATAATTAAATCTTTACTCTTAATTTAATAAAAGCAATAGCTGGAGTAGAAGACTTCTATGTTTGTAGCCTAGAAATATTTCCTAAGTACAAAAATTGAGCACAAGAGTTTTGGTGTGGCTCTTTGGCATAACATTTAAGTTGAACATATTTGCCCAATAACTTGTTCTAGTAAAGGAAGAACAATCCTTTCAAACGAGCAAGTTAATTTTCTTATTGAAGGTCTTTGGATGTTTCTGATTATCAACAAAAGGTCTGACTGGAACATCACCTGTGTTCATTTTCTTGTTAGTTAATTACACTATACTCACCACCCCCCACTATCAATAACTGGCTCATATCCTTTGGCTGTATTGAATGGGTTCCATCATTAATTACAAGATCAGAAAAACGGGCTAACCATTTATTTCTTTGTATTTTGCCTTTTAAAAGCAGTTATTTTACTTCCCAGTTGACTTAATATTTTATTTAGGGACTTCCCTGGTGGTCCAGTGGTTAAGTCTCTGCGCTCTCAATACAGGGGGCCCGGGTTTGATCCCTGGTCAGGGAACTAGATCCCACAGGCCACAACTAAGACATGGCACAGCCCAATAAATAAGTAAATAAATATTTTTTAAAAAGAATAATTTTATTTAATAAATATGAATCCAAACATACTTTAGTAAGCACAAACTCAAAAAAGACATTATACCTAGGGGTATGATTCATTAATGCCACGAACCAATACATAATATTTCTAATTAAAGGCAAATTTACTACTGGTCATAAATTGTTTCCCCCTCTCTACACTTCCTGATCTCTCAAACAAAAATATTTTGAGTTTGATGAATCAGTCATATTTTCTTATTCACAGACGTTTATTTATTGCACAAGCAGGAATAGAAAGAGAGGGGCTCCCATGGGGTATAAGGTCAAGCTATTTCTTAAGGTGTAGAGGAAGGGTCAAGGCTATAAACATGCCCCTGACCCTAGCACATTCAAAAATCCTTCTGCTGGGTTCCTTCTGCCTTTTGACGTCTTCTTCCATTGAGCTTATAGAATACAACTAATTGTGTAGTAAGAGTTTTAAACTGATACATACGTTTCTGTGGCAGGATCATAGACTTCACAGGAATTCAGTACTCGCCCAGAAACATTGTTCCCTAAACTTCCACCGCAAACATAGATCAGGCCGTTGGCTTCCACCATCCCATGGCTGCAGCGCTGAGTCAGCATGCTGGGCTTTGTGTGCCAGCTTTCAGTTCTTGTATCATAGCACTCAAATAAATACAGAGCTGAGTTTCCTGTAAAAGAAAAGGACCCAATCTTGCTTAACTTAGTGTGTATGTGGGCCTGGAGTGAGTTGACTGTACAGTTGAATCATTAATTACTGGAGGAAAGAATTTAGGGTTGTAGAGTCTTTACTCAATCAACAACAACAAAACGTAGAAATAGTTTCAGAAAAAGCTACCCCTGTTTGTACAGACCTTGGAAAATATTCAGAAAAGGATCTCTTGGAGAGACTTATTAACTGGTAATTAAACACAAAAAAAAGAAATTGGTTTGATTTCAAAAGATTTTCAAATTAAATAAGAAACATTATGTATGTCTTCCAGCCCAGTTATGCATGATGGGAATTAATTGAACCTCAAATGTTTATAGAGAGGGGGAAAAACACAGCTGTTTACAGATGGTAAGTCTATACCTTAAAATATGAAGACTACTATCTGAGAGTATCCTCAGGCTTGTCATTTAACGTTCTACAACAGCCACTGCATCATTAACAAAACTGTTCTTCCTGACTGCTCTCAGCAGTTGTGTGGGTAGGCCCTGAAGTCATGCCCGTCCACTCTTGAATATACACTCAAAGTATCGTTATGTGTTTCTGGTGTACTTTGATTATACATTTTAACGGCAAAACACACCCATCCTGTTTTGCAACTTCTGCACATTTTAGGAGCTCAATAAAGAGTTTTAGAAGTGATACCATTAAAGATCAAGTGTTTTTCTTTCCCAAGAAAAACGAAGCTAGAACTTTAAATTATTGCTCCCCTCCCACTTCTCTGGACTTTTCTAACGCTTAAAGGCAATAATACCCTTATAAGTCTCTATCAAAACCAAAGCCTATGAAGAGCAAAGTTCAAAGAGTAACAAACATAAGAAGTAACAGTCATGACTAACAGTAACTTCTTTTTAAACATTTCAAATTTGGTAGATTCAGTTGGTTGACACTAAAGGGAAACAGTATATAGCAGATTAAAAAGAGTTACTATTTAAGTGAAAAACTGACTTAGCAGAGTAAATGCTGAAGAAATGAAGTTATCTACTATACTTTCCACAAAAAAGTATATCTATAAAACACTTCCTACTATATTTAGGATTTATTGTATTTGAAATATGCTGTATTAGACATTCTGTGAGAATGCTTTTAAAGAGGGGGAAGGTCACCTCGAGTCACATTTAGAAAATCATAATCTTTCTTGTATTCATTTTGCATCTAGTGGGAGTGGGGGTAGAAACTTAAGACAAGGAAATATGCTGACCAAAAGTAAAACAGTCTTTGGGCTAATATAAAAATCATAAAAGAAAACAAAAAGACAACGTTTAAATTCCATACTTTAGATTTACTTGTCTTCCTAGTTTTCTTTATAAGCCCATTATTTAGCTAAAGAAATTACTTGAAAAGACGAAAGCATATAAAAGCTAGTCTGTACCTAGAATATTCATTTAGAAAAATTATTCATTTAATAAACAAACACTAGTGGACACTTACAAATTATCTGTCAATGAGAAAGGTTTTTATACCCATACCCAGACCCTGTTCTGATCAATAAGCTTAAGATACCACTACCAATCATTACATTAAAAAGTTAAAGAATAGGGAGCTCTCTGGTGGTCCAGTGGTAAATAATCTGCTTTCCAATGCAGTGGACACTGGTTCAACCCCTGGTTGGGCAACTAGGCCCACGTGCTTCAACTAGACAGCCCGAGTGCTGCTAACTACAGAGCCCGCGTGCCATGACTAGAGACAGAAAACCTGCACACCACAACTAGAGAGAAGCCCACGCGCCGCAACGAAGATCCCGCATGCCACAACGAAGACCCGACGCAGCCAAAAGAAAAAAACAAAGTTAAAGAATAAAGCAAATGAAAAAGATTATTCTTACTTTTTTCTGATACAAAGAAAGCAAAGATAATACAGATTTTAAAAGCCTGAATGTGGGTCTATGAGTAAGCCAAACTCCGAAATCTTTAAAGCAAATAATATTACGTACATAAAATAACTAATCCAGATGGGAACAATGAAGCTAAAATCCAGATGACGTCAATGAAACCGTTGTCATGACAAAAAATGGACAGTTAACATAATCTAGGAAGGTGAAGTTCTCGTAAATTAATGACTTATAAAGAGTAAGGTAAACCTTCAGGGAAATGTGCTCTAAAATATGACAGATATGTATTTAAATTTGTCAAAAAGTATCTGGACAAATAATACCAACTCTGTTTAAATATGAAAGCCAAGACCCTCAGCTTTAAAGCACACACAAATACTGAATAAGTCCTTACCAACTTCGGAACCTCCAGATGTATAAATTTTGCCTTCTGCAGCGCAGGCAGCAAGGCTGTCTCGAGGTGTTGGAGGGCCCAGTTTGGAATACCAGCTATCTTTAACGACATTATAGCAGTCCATTCGTTTTATGGGGAAAAGCTGAGAGCCACCCAAAATGTAAACTACATTGTCCCAAAACACGCATGCTGCGTCTCTTCGTTTTTCAAAGGGGCAGCGGATGTCTGTCCAGCTATAATCCTGTAACAGGAAAGGACAGGAAGATTTCAGTAATGGAAAACTATAATAGAAAAGGATGAAGCAAAGATATAACTGAGAACATACAAAACATAAGAATATGTTAAATTTATCAGAGTACATATAAGAATGTTTGGCTTGAGACTATTATTTAATCTTGCGTGACTTCTTCAGAATGTTGGTTAGTCGTGGCAGAAGGCAAGAGGAAGACAGTGACGGCTTTGGGTCTTTTCTGGCTCTAAAATAAACTTTAATACATTTGTATGTATCACCAACACCCCGTCTTCTATTCCTTCTGTTATTGAGGATAATACAAGAAAATACTAAAATAAGCAGTTTTGTTATTTAAAGAAAGATTGTTTTTTCAAATGTAAATATGCACATCCCTTCTTTGCCAGATGTATAAGGATATAAAGAATCAATGGATAATTTGAAGCTTTAACTGCCATTAACCTACTAATGTCTAAAGCCAGAAGGCATTTTGTAAACTTCTGAGAGATATTAATTTTCTGTAAATATTCAGGTGAGCCAGTATAGTCAGCCAGACTCTTAAAGCTGTGATATTATGAAATACTTGAATAACCTGAGTAGTCTGGAAACAACTTTTTTCTTCTCAATGAGAAGAAATGGGGACCTATCAGTACTTCACAATAAAGGCTGTTCACAGCACCACTGATTCCTATGTTTGATGACATCCAATGACACCTGTGCCCTTCTTCTATGTAAACATGTGGGGGAATGCTCCCAAAGTTATAGCTTGTTGGATCCTCCCCCTTTCAAAGCAAGGAAGTTACAGTCTTCCTGCTGCTTTCTGAAAATGGTTGAAAATAATTAGTGTCAGATAGAAATCCAAGCAATTCTCAATCTCATCAATCAAAGCACTGTGATTTATTAATGTGGATTTCCCTTTGGGAAAATTTGATATCTATCATGCTAATGTCCTGTTTTTCAGGCATTCACTGAATTAGATCAAAGCATCGTAGAACGTAAGAAATGGTCTCTTAGGTAAAGGAAGAGTCCCTTATTGAGAATATCTTGACTCCTAGTGATGATAAACATTGTTTTTTAGGTGACCAGAGAAAACAGAGCCTTAATCCCTTTCTTATTCTCAAATTAGGGTCTATAAGGCCCCCTGGGTTACTCAGTGGTATTTTTATTGGTAGGCACACAAAACTGCAGGATAAATGTAACATCTTCCTGAAGTTTCCGTTTTACTCAATGGATTTGAAAAACTGAGGAAGAATATTTTAAAAATTTGTTTTCTTGGGGAAACTGTGTACCACAGAGTGAAAAAAAGTAAGCGATAAAATATTCTACAGGGAGCAATACCTCAAAAGTAAACAAAATTACTCTTACATATTATGCAAATCTACTAATAGCTCCTACCTGACCAGGCTCATTAGCAGAGAAATACAATTTCATTAATAAGGTACATTAACTTAGTGAATCTCAAGTCTTGCCACTCTTACACCCAATTTATTTGATATTATTAGAAAGTGATATGCAAATTTTCCCATAATTTCTAAAGACATCCTTAAAAACATTATCTTTCTAAACTCTTCCTTAATTTCAGGATGAGAAAGTTGGTCAGATATTCTTTGAAATGGCCTCCAAGACCTGATACTCTTCAAATTAAAAAGAACTGCCCAGGTAGAAGCTGGAACTAAAAAAACAATATACTACTACTTTTAGCTAGATGAGCTTAAACACTTCGACACTAAGATTATGAGGTTCCAAAGAATGAAATAATTTCAAAGAGCTTGGTAACAGAATAATTCTACCTTTCCAATACTACTCAAGGGTCTGAGTAGGGAACGGATGATCATAAGTCATATAGGACTTGGTTATACTTCATATTTAAGAATTAAAATGCATTGCTCTCTCGGAACTCTAAGCCCAAGGGAAAATTGATTAGCTTGTGTGTCTGCAGTGTGTGTGTGTGTGTGTGTGTGTGTAACATGGGAATAGGCACATGTTTCTATCTACTTGGAATGTGGGCTCTCACTTCTCTAGAAGTCCTCAAGTTTTTAAATCTTTTCCAACTCTCCCAATACTGTCATTGGTCACCATACATGTTAAACACTATGCTTGATAAATACTAGCTATATATAATATTCTGCCTAATAGTTCATCTTCTACACAGGTAAGTGAAATATCTTTCTTTTTACCTGGAATGCAAAATAGACTTCATTTCAGATAAAATGTAATGCTTTACATTTGGGCTCATTAAATATACCTGTCAGGTGTTAAATGCACCTATGTTTGAGCATATCTGCCTTTGGTTGTACACAGGGGAGCTTATGGTCTTTTTTTTCTGTGTGTGTATGGGCCAACCTCCCTTGGAAATCTACCCAATTCCCTCAATCTACCCCCCATCCAAAATAAAGTACTGAGAATGTGATTTAACGTTTGCTCTTTAATAACTTGTTATACTACCTAGGAGATGTGTGCAGTTGAAGAAGCAAGCAGAGAGGGGATAAAAACAGATGGGAAGTCAGGCTTGTCAGCTCAGTGGATATCTTTGCCAGGTCTTATTCTAGTCATGGGACCTGACTAGGCCCCAACCTGGGGCCTGTAGGTGGAGGAAAAATTACTTATGGCTCCCAGCACTCACAGGCTACAAGGCAAGCTAGAGGGGCATGGAGCTTTCATGTTAGCAACAGATGGATGAATAGCACTAGAGTCACAGTACATGTGTGTGGGCAGGAAATTGTTACCCTAAAATTATAATTTAATGCAGTTTTTATTGAGTACCTATTCCAGGCAAGGTTCTATGCTTAGCTGCTGAGAAGATATGAAAATGAGAAAACCGGAAAGCTTAGAAAAAACACAGGTAGAAGGATTTCTTAAGTTCTGACACATCACCCATGTATGCATCCACACATATATATGCAGACATACCCATGTATAAAGTCCTGTCTTTCCTGGTTCCCGTCAGTCTTTCTTGCCTCTGCCGTGATATATCACATTCCAGACTTTTTTAAAGCTCAAGACTCCTTTTCTTTTTGCAAGCTTCCCTGATTTCCTTTTTCTGAATCCCCACCACACTGAAGTCTGCAGTTGATGACTGAGTACGCCATTACATCTTGTCTTGTGTGACTTTTCAGCTGTAGGACACTGCTACAGGAAGTGAAAGTGAAAGCCCTTCTTGAGTTGAAGGGCTGTAATATTTTTCTCCAAATGCCTTAGGGTAAAAACATCAGCCTGCTATTTTCCTTGAGAGTAAGGATTGATTTAATATAATCTTTATTCTGAAAACACATGAATCCTCAAATAATAGAAACACTACAGATGTAAATATTAACAATAATCAAGACAACCAAAATGCAAAATGAAAGAAACTTTTTATTTTTAAGACTTGAGAACTTTATTTTGCATCATTTTGAGAGAAAATCAAGCAAAGCTAGGGGAGAGAGGAGGTATATGCCAGATGCCACAACATTCCTAGAAGCAGTGTCATGAAAAGTACATCAAAACACTGTGGCTTATAAAAAAGGACAAAATAATGCCATTTACAGCAACATGGATGGACCTAGAGATTGTCATACTGAGTGAAGTGAGACAGAGAAAGACAAATATATGATATCCACATATAATGTAGAATCTAAAAAAATGGTACAAATGAACTTACTTACAAAACAGAAATAGAGTCACTATTACAAATAAATGATAATATTATATATCCTTATGAGGAATACTCCACAGCCCTTCAAACGGATGGTATTTTCATTGACATGAAAATACCACCACAATATAAATGCTGAGAGAGTAAAAAGAAGTTTTCGTAAAATAGCACGTATGGCATGATCCCACATATATAAAGTGAGAACACTGGGGACTTCCCTGGCAGTCCAGTGGTTAAGAGCCCGTGCTTCCACTGCAGAGGGCATGGGTTCGATCCCTGGTCTGCATGCCACGAGGTGCGGCCAAAACAAAAAATAAATAAAAAATAAAATTAAAAAAATAAAAAATTCTAAATTAAAAAAAAAAATGAGAGGACTGGAAAGATGTTCACCAACTACTGAGGACTGTCTGTTATGCTGGGAGCACTTTGGCTTTCTCCTTTTTATCTTGCTATGTTTGAATTTTCTACAATGAGCATATATTATTTTTTTTAAACAGAAAAAGTAAATACAACAACTAGGCAAGTAGTACCAAAAGTATGGTACAAAGCAAACAACTTCTCACATCAGATGCTTATAACAGTACTAAATGTTTTAACATAAATGTGGACTTAAAAGTAATTTAAGTTAAGGCTTTAAAAACTTAAAACACCTAAATAGCTATTATACTATGCGGCTGAATTTCAACTACAAGATGGATCGGAAACAGTCTTTGCCTTCCTTCCAAATAGCACACTATTAGGGCATATCTAGTTTTTTAGAAGTGAACACTTGATTGTACTTAATTTCCTAGGCTGTACCCACTTTGAAATGCACTCATTTTCAATGGGATCACACAGATATTTCTGTAAACATATTAACCTCCCAAAGTCCAGAAAGGGATTTAATAATCAGCCATTGGAAGAAAATACTCTTGTAACTTAAAGTTCTTCATAAAACATAGCATCACAGCTAGAAAAAAGGCTTCCACAATTGGGGGTGGATGGGCAGGGCGTGACTGTGCTACCGTAAGCTGCTAGATAAACTCAGAACAGTGAACATATAAACGGGCAGTTCCCAGCTACTGATCAGTTAAAACTAGCAAGGAGTGGGAAGTGAGGCCAGACACCAGCTCAAAGGGAATTACTGATTAAGAATCACTACTGTTTTATAAAGTCACAACATGTTCTCCCCCCTCCACTCTCAAACTAAAACCATACCACCAAGACACACAACTCAAATCTACTCAGATATTTAAGTGAGATGAAACTCAGTTCAAAAGTGAAACCTGGGGCTCCCCTGGTGGCGCAGTGGTTGGGAGTCCGCCTGCCGATGCAGGGGACACGGGTTCGTGCCCC